TGAACTAATACTGTTTCATTTCAGCATAAACAAGGGGAACAGGTACATGAATTTAATTGAGAGTCTACTCCTAGCTTGAATCCAGACATTTAATGGCTGCTTTAATGTGCCTTAATTCAGTCTCCTCAACATATCTCTGCAGTAGACGTCATCCATGTGTTGTAGAAGAGAGAACTAAGGCTCAGAGTTTATTGTTGACAGCAGCAAAAGTGGCTGCACCTGGTAGGGCCCTGACCTTCTGAGCCCATGTCTAGCTTACTCTCCACTCTGGTGGTCTCTGCTTTATTCTTTTTTTTTAAGTTTATTTATTTATTTTGAGGAAGGGGGGGAGAGAAAGAGAGAGGAGAGAGACAGGGACAAGGAGAGGATAGAGAGAATCCCAAGCAGGCTCTGCACTGTCAGCACAGAGCCCAATGCGGGGCTTGAACCCATGAACCACGAGATCATGACCTGATCCAAAGTCAAGAGTTGGATGTTTAACTGACTGAGCCACCTAGACACCCTGTGTCTGCTTTATTCCTGATGGGGATATTTTAAAATTATATCTATCTATCTATCTATCTATCTATCTATCTCATATTTTGTCCTCACATTCAACAGTAATTGTAGACTAAGTACTTGGCACTGTATTACATTTTATTTTTATTTTTTTATTTTTTTTAACGTTTATTTATTTTTGAGACAGAGAGAGACAGAGCATGAACGGGGAGGGTCAGAGAGAGAGGGAGACACAGAATGGGAAGCAGGCTCTAGGCTCTGAGCCATCAGCCCAGAGCCCGATGCGGGGCTCGAACTCTCAGACCGTGAGATGGTGACCTGAGCCGAAGTCGGACGCTTAACCGACGGAGCCACCCAGGCGCCCCAGCAATGTATTACATTTTAGAAGGATACTGTGCATGGTGGAAAGGATGGAAACTTGGTATAAAAATATCTAAACTTCTTTAATAGTTCTAGGAATACTTGAAAAGGAATGTATATGGATTACAGACAAAGTCCATTGAAGAGGAGTAAATTAAGATATTATGCTGGCCTTCTTTTTATATTCTCAGTATACTTGCCTGTTTACTCTTCTGACTGATATGTTACCTTTAATAGTATTTAAAAAATATATATGGAATAATAAGCTATGACTTTCATGGGCATCACACATTTCACAGCAATAATGATCCTTATGAAGATGTTGGCCAGCAGATAGATTAAAGCATTCGGTTGAGAACTGAGGTCCCTCTACAGGCACAGTCTGATGATCTTAACAGACTTTTAGGTGGCTTGGCTCAAGGACTGCATACATTGTGGAATAGAATGTTGATTTAATAGATTGTCTCAGCCTTGTTTTACTGCTGAGTCACAATGGCTTTTTCAAGAAAAATTAAAAATGTGAAACTATACATTTGTGTGTTACAGACATATGGAATAACCTCGAACAATTTTCAGTCATGAATTTACAATGTCATCTTTCCTTTGTGTCATATGCTTCCTATCAAATTATGGTTTGAATGTGTGGGGGCCTTGTTCAAGTATTAACTAGGGTGATGTATGTTTATTTCATGCATTATGTAAAAAAATCAATATGAAGGAAATTACAAATCTCAGTAGAGTCATAATATTACTCTAAAATAAACATCATGTAGTAGTTGTCTCATTTTGTGCTATCCTCATCTGTGAAATTAGGTAATCCCTGTACCAGAACCTGTCAATACTAACAAGTATTTGTTGTTTGTACCATTCCATCTCTACTCTATACCCAACAATTCACTGTAGTGTGTGTGTGTGTGTGTGTGTGTGTGTGTGTGTGTGTGTGTGTGTTTACTATAGATTTAGGAAATGATCAATGACAAATAAAATGCTAGACCAACTCACAACTACTATCAACCTTACCCACCAAAATCTATCTTCTGGTTCCTTCTGAAAGTTCCACCTTCACAGTGAGGTGGGTTGTCACATTCATACTGTTTAGATCTCCTTCAGCTACTCTTTATTAAGGCTACTGACAAATTTGGATGATAAGATGCTCTATTTCAGGGCCACTCATCACACTTGCTGATAAACGCTAACAATAGTTCACTGTGTACTTCCTTCACTAAATTCACCCAACTCCTTGTCAACAGGGAAACGTGTCAGAAAAATGTACCTACTATTGCTCACAACCTTATTTAGTAAATGCACTTGAGCCCCAGGCTATAGATTACTTTGACTTGTGCTTCTATTTGTAGCTACTCACAGACATAGCTTGTCTATCCACCCCTGTTAGATCTTTTAAAGAAAGCCTAACACAAAAGAGGAAAATTGGAATAAATTAGGAGAAAAATATCCTCTCATGTTCACTAACGCATTTTTCTACTTAATAATCTCACGTTAGACATTAGATAAATGTTTTCGTTAGAAAGTGCTTTTATTTCTTTTTCTCTTACAAGCGTTGTAATATCAATTCTAAGAGATGTTAATTCACATCCACAAGGTGGATATTTACATTAAGGAAATACATGTCCAGAACTGTTCCTTTCTCAAAATTAGTTCATATTTTATTTCACAGAAAGAAAAAAATATATATACATTTGGATTGTAAGTAATATTTTAGCATTCTTTTTGGGAGCCACTGCACTAAAATCCTAGAGAGCTATGCCAAAAAGATGAAGTCCTAAGGTAGGATCGGCCAGAGCAGTTCAAAAACCAAGAGCATGTCAAAAACCAGCTAAACAAAATGCATATTTATTTGTTATTTCATTTCTGTACTTTTTATTGACAACTGATTAATATATAGAAAATTCTAATTTTAACATAACAATCTAACAATTTTTTTTTTTAAAACAACACTTAGCTTCCATTTTGATTTCTTCTACTTTCTTTTTCCTGATTTGTATACTGTTAAAAACCACCATTATCACCATTATCTTTAGCCTTGATGGAATGGAGTCTATTATGTCTTAGGAACAGGAAAAAAAAAAAGATAAAAAAAAAGAAACAGCTCAGAAATAGCCTATGAATAGAAGTTATCTCAAGTCTTTATGGAGTATTTGCTTTATTTAGCAAATAAAGCAAAAATCAACTTTGGACCAAAGTGTGCAATGTCAGCTAGCTTCCTAACAGGGCAATGCCAGTTTAGCTACAGTGGAATTCAAATTGGCTATTAAGTTATGCTCGCATAGACAGTGGCAATATGTTGGACAACTGTGAAGAGAAAACGAAGCACCACTGATGGTCCGTGGCCCCAAAGAGACCATTTCCATATGCTCTCCATCGCCTGACAGCTTTGCAGTCCTATCTCAACTCCTTCTCAGCGACATCCATATGGTAGATACAGATTGAGAGCTTGCCTTTTCTAAGACAGTCAGGTCTCACTTGGTATTCTATTGCACTGAATACTGGTGAACAGTGATTCATAATTTTATTGCAAAAATAAGATTATGAGTACTAGGTCCTTCCACTGTCTTCAAAGAGACAGTTATGGATCCTGGCTATCTTATCTTTTCATGTTATAGAAGGAAATTAGTTGCATGCACTGTAATCTGATCTGAATCAGGTTACCATCTATGCATTATGTAGCGAGGAGCCAGAAAATAAGAAAAACAAACATAACGGGGCTTGCACATCATTGTTTCAAGGTGCTGGTCTCACACATACACAGAGGGAGTTGAATTTAGTGGAAGTGGCAGGTATATAATGGAGCACATGTGAACAAAGGATTCTTCTGAGACTGACAAGTAATTTTGGAATTTCTTGAAGTTTATTTATGTTTAAAATTTTAAGCCTTACACATTCATGGCTTTGTTCACTGAACATTTGTTGTTTTCAGACTCGTGAAACACTGGGCATCACCTGTTCCATCTGGCAAAGACTTAATAAGTAGGCAGCGGTCATTATTTTTATTTCAGCAGAGAGACTAGCCACAACCTGAATTATAAAAAAAAAAGGACAAAGGCAGAGAATAATTTCTTAGAAGGAGGGCTTGATCTCTTAGTAGGAGATACACGCCACTTGGGCAGTAGATCACAAAGGAGTGTGTGTTTTTATGCTACTAAAATTTTTTTCATTTAAAGAAATTTCTCATTTTCTACAAAGCTTTTTAAAAGATAGCAGGAACGTTGACAAAGATTTACAATTTATGAAAGAAAAAATGTAAAATCCTAGAGAAATCGTTCAACACAAACCAAACTGTGATGATAGTAAACTCAAACGCATAATAACATTTTTTTTTTAAAAGCAGTATGGCATTTCACAAATTGAAAATAACAAAAACAGATATTGGCACCTTCTCCCAATGTAACTTCCTAAACTAAGAATTTTATTTTGCATTTCTTTCTTCCGACAGGAATTTGAGATTACGTGTGACTTAGTTTCCTTTTGGGAAACCTAAGAGGCAAGCAGAAATCTCACTCTCGCCCTTAGTTTACCTCCACCTAACAACTCCCCAGGGGCCAAAACATACTGTTCTCTTAAACATTCCTCCAACCCTCCTCCCCCACCTCCCCAATTGGCATGCCTTTATATAATCTTTTGCTTTCCTCCATTCTTAGCTCCTGATAACCTGCTGTGACTTTCGGCTCTAGGATCTTCCTATTACCTGGTTGGGTATCTCCCAGTTTCTAGGTCTTTTGTGCATTACAACCCCAGGTTCCCAGTGGAACAGAGGCGTTGGGGAATTTATAATGAAAGAATCTGGGACCTCAACGGTCTCTCTCCCCTATCCATGCCAATGTACAAATATTTCTAGAGGAGAAATAGTTTGAGGCCGACTTATGTTAACAGTCCTATCTCCAAACCTTTCTCCAAAAACATGCAAACACAGACCTGGTCTGTGCTCCAGGGCCTATGAGCGTAACCACAAGGAAGAGACTGCCCTTTGGCGATGAGAAACTCCCACACCGACCACAGAATTCAAACCGGGCCTCACTCCGTAATTTTAGTTCCTTTAAACCTCATGACGATTTTCTCAGAAATCACTGTTTGCCACGAAAAGGTGCGCTCGGTTCGATTTGCGTGCATCTATTTTCTCTTTACAGGGGACTAATTAGCGCACGATCACATCCCACTCAGGTACCAACGCCTGCAACAACTGCATCCCCCCCCACGATCCCCGCAGCTTTGCCTAGATGTGCCCCGCATCGCAGGTGCATTACCCAGGAAGAGCTCGTCGGGGCAGCACCTAACTGACAGGTAACTTCGCTGTTTTAGTTTCGAAGTCATTAGTCTTACGAAGCTGCGAGAGCACAACGGCGCTGACGCACGGCCCACGGCCTTTCCTGAGGAGCTGGCGACACCGCGGATGTGAACGAGCCCAGAGTTTGCTACTCTTGTCCCCTGGACTCAGAAGGAGCGGGATTCTCTCTTCCTCCAGGGCACTCCGGGCCAGATGCACACCGGGGCGGGTGTTACTGGAGCTAACGAACTACAGGAGGAAAAGCAGCAACCACAAACTCTGGGCAAACCAAGCTTCTTATCAGAAGACATCTTCAGAAATGATGGGTTTGATCCACAGCGAGGGCGCTTCCTTCACCTCGGAATGCTTAAGTAAAGCAGTCTGAGCCCAGTGACAACTGTGACAGGCGGGGAAGGATCTCCCTGCTTTGTGGCTCTCAGCTGTGTCAAGCAGGAGCCTCGGGCCCCAGGGCGTATGTGTGGATCCCCAGGGGCGCCTCAACACTCTGTGGCTCCCCAGACTCTCACTTTTGGAGATGCCCTCCATGCCCATCAAACAGACTGGAGGTGGAGAGGTGCCCCGGCAATGAACTCTCACAGCCTGGCGTGGGAGCCTGGCCTCCTACCCACTCCTTAGGAATGCTTTATTTATCACCCGATGCAGAAGTACTTACTGAGGCCCAGATAATCTGGCTTTTTTCCCCCCTCAATTATTCATGAGATTTAGGCAAAATTGCATATTTTTAAATTTCATCTTTTTGGTATAAATTACTGAAATCGCAGGCAAAGAATCCATCCAGGATCTGTTTGCTAGAAGCCTCTCTAGGTTAGCTCCGCATCATTACAACTACTTCTCTTTGAACTTTGAGAATGGAGGATCCTGAAAATTTGACAGTTGGTGGCAATTTATGTAACTTGTTCTATTACTGTTGGCAGAATGTGGGAAAACATTGGAATGAAAATCTGAATCTATAATACACACACACACACACACACACACACACACACACACACACACGTTTATATAATGTCTCAACAGCAGCAAAAGACAGACGGGACCATGCTGGGACCAGAGAGGGATCCGAGGTCATTTGTTGAATGGGGCTTACCACTCAGGCACACTTCGTTTTTATTCCTTAGTTATTAATTAGTGTCTACCTACCAGTGACTACATGAAACCCTGGCCTGCCTCCCTCCTTCCTCTGTGCCCTCTCACCTGCTACCCTGGTGTCACTGGGGACAGCTCTGGTCACCAGCTCCCTAGCACACACATGTCTCCTGAGCCACAGGAACTACAGACCCAGAAATGTTAATTCCACCCACCTCCCCTTGGCCCGCTGAAATCTCTGTGTGTGCGCTCACCATTCCCTCTGCCGGACACCCCTCTACCTTTGCTGGCTACTCCAACTTTTGCCCTTCAAAGTCCGGCGCCAACCCCACCTTGGGAAAGGCTCTGCCATGACTGCCCTACCTAACTCCTCTGCCTCTGACTTCATAGCTTGGCCTCTAGGCGTGTGGCCATGTCCGTCTCACTAAGCCAATGCTCCTTAGTTATCAAGGGGGTAGAAATAGCAACTAACCTTTGTAATGAGCTTTGGACATATAAAGCCTTTGCATACGTTTGACCCTTCAGAGACCCCTCAAGGTGGGTTAACATCCCATTTTCCACACATGTAAACAGAACAGTTCAAGTAGCTGGTCCCAAGTGACACAAGTGATGTGGTGATACTGAGGCTAGGTGAGTCAGATCTACAGGCTCAGGCACTTATAGGGCATGGTATCCCTCCCCACCCCCCTCTTGAGTGTGGGGTCTTGGCTCGTTCCTCTCTTTCTCCCCCAAGCACCTGTGGCTGTTGGTAAATATTTGTTGAATTGAACTGGGGCAGGAGGTAGATAAGAAAGGGGTCTATGAGCTGGGTGATCGAATCCCACGTCATGCCTGGAGGTCACAAGGAAACTAACTCTCTTTACACAGCTAGATCTCCTACAAGCCTCCCGACAAGGGGCTGTTCTCTCTTGTGCCAGAAGCACTTGCATTCCTCTGTGGCTCTGTTTCTAAAGAAACCGGGACGTGGATGTATGCCAGCAGATAGCAGGACTGAGAAACACCCCAGTGTGAAACTACTGATATTTGAGATGTCCTGATCCTTTGAAAAATTACATGTACTAATAAGAATTAATAAAACGTATGCACTCCAGTGAAGTATAAAGACAGGTTTATGATGAACTGTTTCTGTAAATTAAAAGTTTTCAAGAATACTGTTAAAGTATTCATTTTTTTCCCATAATGCTGCTTTAAAAATGTTTTCCCACATGGTTCTGTCACTTTAACTTTCCTTATCATTCTTTTACGAACTGTAAGGTAAGAAATAATAAGTGTAGTTTATGGAAAACTCTTGTTCTCCAGAGTGTATGAAAGCCTTGTCATAGGAGGATTAGAAATGTTAAGACAGTACTCAGAGGACAGAGACTGCTGACAGGCGGGGCGCCCATATTCTGCTGATCCAGCCCAGACCCTGGCTTCTGGGAGCTGGAAATGGCCCAGTGCCCGGGTGTGAGGCCGCTCAGGAATGCAGGTGAAACGGTGTGTACTCCAGTGTCCCAGCACAAGGACACATCACAGGTCGACCAGCCATCCCAGATTTAGCACTGAAAACCCTGCATCCTGGCATACTTCTCAGTCTGGAGCAGACCAGGAAAGTTGGCCACCCCATCAAGGTGCTATCCAGAACAAGGATCATAAAAGAATGTTGAAGCTACTGAGGACTTTTAGTGCTCATTGGTTTACCAATCACTATTATCAGGCCTTCCTCTCATTTTGAGCAACAAAAGGTTAACATTTGACCTCACTTAGGAAAAAGAGTCTCGCTGCAGTTCTATCAATACATCTGGAATGTCGCTCATGCAATCCAATCCTTTTTCCTCTCCTACTCATGGCTATGTGCTGCTCGGAAAGTATGCATGAACTCAGAAGTATGTGACACGTGCCCACGTTCATAACCTTGGCGCTTAAAATCCAAGGTTAATGCTATTTGCCTTAGAGTGAGGTCATGCAAATGTTACAGATCATGGAACCAAAAGTCATGTAGACATTGGGACAGTTTGTGTGTGTGTGTGTGTGTGTGTGTGTGTGTGGGTTGGGGAAGAAGGGTCTCATCCTGAGGTGATGCCTGTGTCCTAGTTTCTGACTGCTCCAAGAGAAAAACTCCCTCTTCAGGTGATGCCAAATGTTCTGGGGAACTAGCAGGCCTAGGACTTCCCTTTTTCATGGTAGAAGAAAATAAGTCGTTTTACTTTTTTCTTATCTTGTAAAATAAAAATTATATGTAGACTCAGATCTGGTATCAGTAGAAGAGTTCTCTGGTTCTCAGTCTTTATCAAAGTAGTTTCTTCCCTTTCTGCCCTTCCAAGTATAACACTTCTGGTATTATTTTAAAATAAAAAAATAGACATTGTCATTTTCTGTTCCTTAATGGCCAAATGTTTTATACCCTTAGGCAAGTTTCATAGAAAAATACATATACTCTATGCCACTTAATAATGTCTAAAATGTCTGAAACATTACCTATACAGTAACCTATATTACCTATAATATATATATATCCCTAAGTGTATATATATGTGTGTATGGGTATATATATCTGTGTGCATGAATGTGTGTATGTACAACTATGTTGTGTGTATGCATACATGCACCTGTGCTTATGTAACAAGCTTAAGAACCACAGAGCACAGGGGTGCCTGGGTGGCTCAGTCTGTTGAGAGTATGACTTTGGCTCAGGTCATGATCTCACCCATGTTGGGCTCCGTGCTGACAGCTCAGAGCACGGAGCCTGCTTCGGATTCTGCATCTCCCTCTCTCTCTGGCCCTCCCCAGCTTGAGCTCTGTCTCTCTCTCAAAAATAAATAAACTTTAAAAAAAAGTAAAAATGATGATAAAAAAGAACCACACGGCACAGTGGTTACCTCTGGGGAGGAGGAGGAAGTAAGCTCTGGAAGGAGTTCCAGGAAGACAGCTTACCCTCATGCATCCTCTTCAATGACATTTAATCTGGCCACATTATCTCCCTCCGTGTTCACACCCCTCCTCCAAGAAGGTACTGGGTGCTCAAGAGGCACCAAGCTTGTCAGGTAAGGGTGACACCTTTGGGCTACACTGTTTGGGTTTGAATTCTGGATGTGCCATTTCTGCCTGTGTGACCATGACCTAGATCCTTAATTGCTCAGAGCCTCAGTTACCTAAAACTAAAAATTTGAAAATCATTTTAATGAATAAATGATTCCACTCGTTGGTTAAGACGTGCTACACTGAAGGGCCGGATTAAAATGGCTACTTCAATAAAGAAAATGTATTACTGGATAAAGATTTTTACATTAATTCCAATTTCCCTGAAGACATTGGCACACATTATCAAGAGCTGGGAGACTCACACAGATAAATACATATCTAGAAACCTCTTCTTCTTTAATATTAAAAAGACAAGTACCCTTGCACCGTGCCTTATATGCTTCGAAATGCTTTATATGACATCACAACTTTGCAACTTTTTGCTTTGTTCATGTGACGTGGCCTGGAGAGCTATTCTTTTTAATTTCCGTTTGGATGTGGCTAATTCTATATTCCTTTGAAAGATAACATAGCCCTTGCTCTGAATCATTCCCTTGTCAATTCCCTTAAAATGGAAGGTAATGAGAGAAAATTTAAAATAAGAATAGAAAATAATCACCAGTTTCATAAGGACGATGGGTGAATGGGACTTTATTTTGATGATATACCTTTAGACAAAAGCATTTGCAGATATTAATTTTTTTTCCTTTAGAGCTAAAGGTGATTTATAACAGATTTGTACTCTGGAAACAGTTGAAAGCACCGAAAATGTCTGCAGAGATGAGAACTGAGTAACTCTAACAGAAAGCCGGTTACAACTATGTTTGAAGGGAAAACTTTTACTGTGAAAAAATTAAATAACCACTAATAAGATATGATCTTCTTTTCTGGGGAAAAGGAAACTATCTTGAAAATTTAAGTTTCAAGTGTTTAAATAAAAAGTAAAGGGGCGCCTGGGTGGCGCAGTCGGTTAAGCGTCCGACTTCAGCCAGGTCACGATCTCGCGGTCCGTGAGTTCGAGCCCCGCATCCAGGCTCTGGGCTGATGGCTCAGAACCTGGAGCCTGTTTCCCATTCTGTGTCTCCCTCTCTCTCTGCCCCTCCCCCATTCATGCTCTGTCTCTCTCTATCCCAAAAATAAATAAACGTTGAAAAAAACAAATTTAAAAAAATAAATAAAAAGTAAAAATAAAAATAACCACAGTAATACAACCGCAAATTCAACATATTTTTTTTCTACCTCTGTTTTCTCCCTTGCCTGCCATCTTTCTCATTCCATCTTTCTGTGTGTCCATCCACCTGTCTGTCTATCTATCTATCTATCATCTACCTACTTGCTTATCTGCCTATCTTTTGAACATCTACTCATCCCAGGTCTCGTGTTAAATGTAGCTATATTTGTTTATATCTTATTTCTTGGCTTCTATTCTTTTTTTTTAAAAGTTTATTTAATTATTTTGAGAGAGAAAGAGAGAGTGTGCACCAGCACAAGCAGGGGAGGGGCAGAGAGAGAGGGAGAGAAAATCCCAAGCAGGCTCCCTGCTGTCAGCCCAGAGCCTAACATAAGGCTCAAACCCACAAACCATGAGATCATTACCATGAGCCAAGATTGAGAGTCGGACGCTTAACTGACTGAGTCACCCAGACACCCCTCTCTTCCTTCTTAAACTGCAGAAACTGTCCTTGGAGTTTCACACAGATAAAATGTCAACAGTTATAACAACAAAAATAGGTGACACTTATCCATTACCAAGCGCCAAGCACGTTGCTCTGCTCTATTGTTTATAGACACCGTTCTGCTTCACGCCACCCCACATCCTGCTCAGGTAGATTTCATTACTTCTAGTTTGTTTCTGCAAGGTGTATGGCAGTTCAGCAGCTTGTTTGATGTCACATGGTAAGTTACGGCCAGAAGAAAGTTCCCAGTCACCCTGGAACAGGAGAGGTCTTGAAGTAGATAGGATGTGCAGAAAAGGGAGGAAGGAGTCAAGGATCACCGGAATACTGAGATGCTGGTTGAGCAGAGGAAGGGTAGTGTCCTTCAGGGACACAAACAAGCAGTCAGGGGCTGTTGGGAAGCAGTAGCAGTAACAGTTTTCACTTTAGAGGTGTAGATGGTCATGGCGGCAGGCATGTCCTGCACCTGTAACTGACAGCTGAACGTCATCACTTAATTCTCTCAGTGGCTCTGTGAGGAACATGATGGGTTTGACCGTGGACGTGTTGCTCTGGCTGTGGCCATGAGACAAGCTGGGGAAAAAGTTCGGCAGGCAAGTGAAGAGGCAGGGTCTGAGCAAGAACCAAGCACAGAGTGATTGGCACAGAGGCCTGGTAGGCCATCTCACCGTGGTCTCACATCACTGCCACTGCCAGGCAGGGAGTGGGAGAGTGAAGGAGAGGAGGATGAGGGGAATGCTCGCCGAGCTGTGTGTGTGTGTGTGGGGGGGGGGGGGGGGCTCAGAGGCCAAGCCAAGGCAGAGGGAGGGCTGTGCTGTCAGCCAGTCAGAGGAGAGGCTATGAGGAGAGAAAGTTCAAATCTGACAATATCCAAGTCATGGTTCTTCAAGATAGCAATTGTGGAATTGTGGTGGGGACTGAAACTTTACTTCAGGAGGACAACAATGTGATTGCATGGACAGGAAATGGCATCTTCAGGCACACAAGCTCTGTTTCTAGGCAAGGCAATGAAAGAAAGAAGTATGACGAGGTTAAGATGGGGGTGAGGTGGGAGTGGATGGAGACTGGACAAGGTGTTTAATTGTCCTCAGCTGTTGAGGCTTCAGGTTGCACTAGTACAAGTGGGATCCCTTTCTGCCTACTTTCCCTTATGGTAAAAAGTCTCTAAAGTGTATTTCCAGGAGATGGGGGTGGGGCATGTGAGATGGGGGAATTCCTGGTGGCTAGTAAAAGGAAGTTACATGGAATCCAAAACACTGTGTTATCAGGACATGTGAGAAGGAAAGAGGAGGGCTGCTCAATGCTGCTCTTCATTGGATACATATCTTAATAGATTTCACAGTCAAATTTATGACGTAAGTAGAACTGAACTCAAGACATGGTCTCAGAAACGTGGTTAGGGTGGTGTGCATTGTTAACATTTTCCTTAGCAGCACCCTCTTTGGATTAAATGGCTTCAAGACAGGACTGAAATTTAAGGAATTATAAAGGAAGTTAACAATTAGGCAGTGCAATCTGTAGAACATTAAAATGAAATATGAAAACAATCAAATGTCATTTATCTGTATGTGGTTGAGAGGACCAACACATCCCTTAATACAATCTTTCTTGTGTGTGGGCAAACAGACTCCTTCAACTGTTACTTTTGACAAACTGCCTCATTTCGAACAGTTGAGAGCCGAGGGGCAATGGAAGTGGCTTCTCTCTGGAGGACAACTTCACATCAAGATGCAAGTTGAAGAGGGACCAGTCTCAGGACAGAAGGCAAGGCACTGATTTAGAAAAGAAACACTTGGAATATCTGTAAATGTCAATGCTTGCAACATGTATTGATGACAAGCAAAGGCAGATACAGAGGGGGGAAGGCGAGAAAAAGGAGGTAGAAAGAGAAGGAAGAAGCAGAGCATGCTTGGTTCTAGACAGTCGGCCTAATTCCCAGTGGCCGAGCGGGCCTGCACATCCTAATTTCCATGACTAATTTTAGTAACTCCAAAATACTTGTGTATCGGTGCCTTTACAAAAAGGCTATTTGGATGATTGGAGCAACCGTGGCCTGAAAAAAGCATCAGCCTCTTCCGTATACGTGTGCCAGTTACAGCATAACCCCAGCTTTACTCCATCTAG